TGATTTTATTCAAATTTCATGTGCAAAAGGTTCATTTTTTTTTTGGAAATGTGTTATAAGTTCAATTAAACTCAGAAATTTTAAATCTTTAAATACTCATTGCCTACCCCATTCTACTTTGAGAATTCTAATCATATGAATATAAGTTTACTGATTTTGACAGAGTGAACTATTGTATGACTGATCTGTGATTTCTTTCTTCTTCATTTTTATTTTGGACAGTTTTTATTGTTATACTCATTTAAGTTTGTAAATAATTTATTTACAGTGTGAAATCTATTAATCTCATGCGATGTATTCATTTCAGAAATATTTCTCTTAACAATCACTCTTCTACATCTTATATATTTCACATTTCGATATTTGTCTATACTTTTCAATATGATATGTAAGTACTGATTTTCAATAAAGTAATAAAAAAATCATACTGAAAGAAAAAAGTGTTACCTCTAAAATCTGGAACAAGACAAGGACATTCAAACATTTATTCAATAGAGTACTAGAAGTCAACAACAGCAATTAGACGAGAAGAAAAAAAGGAGGCATTCAACTGGAAAGGAGGAAGTCAAATTATCCCTAAACAAAATATATTACACTTTATATATAGAATATAGCATAAATTATATAGAAAAATTTATAGACACCACCAAAAACTGTTAGAACTGATACACAAACTCAGTAAAGCTACTAGATACAAAAACATACAAAAAAAAAAAATAGCATGTTTATATACCAATAAGAACCTTGCTAAAAAAGAAATCAAGAAAGCAATCCTATGTGTGATAGCTTAAGAAAAGAGCAATAAGTGCCAAGAATATAGCTCAGCGGCACAGCACTTGCCTAGCAAGCACAAGGTCCTGCATTTAAGTCCTGGTAACAAAAAAAAGGAGCAAGAGTTCAACAGTGAAAAGTATAAAACATTGATCAAAGAAACTCAACAGAACATACAAAAAAGGAGAACACATCTGATGCCTGTGGCTTGTTAAAATATCCATACCACCCAGAGTGATTGATACACAGTCAAAGCAATCCTCATCAAAATACCAACTAATATTCTTCTAAATATAGAAAAAATACCATAAAATTCACTTGGAACAAGTCCCTAAATAGTCAAAGCAATCCTGGGCAAAAGGGACAAAACTAGAGATAAATACCTGACTTCAAAACATACTACACAAGCTATAGAAAACTAACAGACACCAACCAGACACAATACAGAACCCAGAAATTAATCAACATGCATACAATCAGCTGATTTTCAACAAAACCTTGCTGAGAAAACTGGATATAATTTTATCAAACTAAAGTACTCTGTAAAGAAAACAGTGTGAAAAGACAATCCAAAAAATGTAATACAAATTTGCAAACTATTATCTAACAGATTGATATCAGAAATATATAAGAAACTAAATAATCTAATAGTATAAAATCAATTAGACTTTTTTTTTTAATTTTTATTTTATTTTATGTGTGTGTGGCCAGCTCAGCCCACCAGGAGGCGGGGCTGGCTGGCATGTGGTGCTGGGGGATTGAACCGCGGTCCCTGTGCTTTGCTAAGTTTATTCTAAGTAGGTGCTTTAGACCACTGAGCCATCTCACCAGCCCCATCAATCTGATTTTTAAAATGGGCCAAAGATCTTTACAGACATTTTATAAAAGATGACATACAAAATGGCCAGTAAGTATATAAAATTGCTTACTATCACCAATTATCAGGAAAATGCAAATCAAAATTACAAAGACATCATCTTTGAAATCACTAGATGCCGTACTAGTCAGAATGGCTAGTATCAAGACGATCTCCAAAAAAAGGGAAGAAAATGCTAGTATGTAGAGAAAGGGGAATTTTATACACAGTTGGTGGGAAGGTAAATTAGCACAGCTCCTACAGAAAACAGTATGCAGCTTCCTGAAAACACAAAACAAAAACAGCAGTACTACGTATGCTCCAGCAACCCCACAAATGGCTAGCTCTGGTAAGGAAATGAAATCAATACACCAAAGAAATGCCTGCACTCGCATGTTTATTGAAACATTATTCACAACAGTGAATATGTAAGGATTGAAATCAATATAACTTAAGTATTTTTCAGTGGATAAATGTGTAAAGAAAATGAGGCATATATAAAGGATGGAATATAATTCAGCCATAAAAAGAAGCAAATCCTATCACTTCTAGCAACATGGATGGAAATGGAGGGCATCATGTTAAATGAAGTAAGCCAAGCACATAAAAATTTATCACATATTCACACTCACGTGAAAGCTAAAAAGTCAATAAAAGAGAGTAAAGTAGTAGGCACTAGACACTAAAAAGCGTAGGAGAGGAGAGGGGTTAGATAAAATACATTTAGACCAAAGGAGTTAATTCTAGTGTTCTACAGCATAGCAGCTTAGCTGTAGCCTATGTACAACGATTTATGTAAGTACCACTCGCTAACTGATTGCGCCACTGGAGCTTCTGTACAATGATTTATGATTATTTATTTGTACCAGGGATTGAGCTCAGGACCTTGCGATTGCCAGGCAGGCATGCAGCTGCGCTATGTCCCTGGCTTATGATTATTTAAACATAACAAGTTTGAAGTTTCCCAACATATGGGAGTGATATGTATCTGAGGAAATGGAATTGTGAACTGTCCTGATTTGGTCATTATACACTACACACATGTATTAAATTAGCTTGCTCTATACTGCATAAGTATGTACAAATACTATGTTGATTAAATTTTTAAAAAGTAATACTTTTTAAAAAAATATATTCAGTACAGGGTCTACAAAGTCTCACTATGTAGATCAAACTCATAGTGATCCTCCTATTTTCAGCCTTCCAAGTGCTGGGATTACAGGTGCACCCCACCATGTCCAATCTCAATCACTGTCTCAGTGTGCCCCCAGGGGTGGGGGCAGGGCTGGCACAGCATGCCTGGGATCAAACCCCAGTTCCTGTGCTTTGCCTAAGCAGGCGCTTTAGTCTGCTACACAAAAGGTAATACTTTTTAAATTTCTCAAAATTAGTTATCAAAAATTTACCCAAAGGAGCCGGGAGATGGCTCAGAGGGATAAGCACTTCCCTGGCAATCCCCGGTTCCACCCAAAACAAAAAAAGATTACCCAAAATAATCTTATTTTTAAGAAATGTAATTGTAAATTAAATCCAGGGTCAGTTTCTCCTTTCATTTGATAAATAAAATCCTAAACCCTATATAATCTGGCCTCTGCCTGTCCCTCTGAACTCATTTCTCACTTTCTGCTCGTACTGTCTACAATGCAACTGCACTGGTCTTTTTGTTCCTAAAATATTAGAAATTTTGGCCTTAGAATTTTTGCATTTGCTATTTCCATCTGCCAAGAATATTCTCCTTTATTTTACCTCTGCTTCCTAATGAGTCAGCTTAATGCCACCTCCAAGAGACTGGCATTCAAAAGCAGCCGCCAATCACCCCAGAAAGGCACCTCCTTCTACAAAGCACTCACTACAAGGTGATATTTTCTGCTTATCTGTCTATCTCCACAAGAATGTAAGCTCCATAACAGCAGTAAATCTACCTTCAAAGTAGACTCACTGCTTTATGCGCAAGACCTGGAGAATCTACATACACAAATACTGCTATATCCTTAAGGCCATTACATGAAGTTCTCATATTATCAAATAGTGAATGAAACATTTTTTAATAAATATATATCAAATAAACCAAATTTATCTACATTAACAGAAAAGGAACAAATTCAAAATTATTTTTAGACATTTTCAGAAAACTGTGAAAACCAATGGAAAAAATCATATACCAAAATTAAGTTACATTTTCCAGTCAATAGTTAAAAAATAAAAAACACAAATATTTTAACGTTATTGCAAATCTAACCAGTATAGGGAGGGAGAACAGTTATCCATCAAGTGACTGTATAAACAAATTGTGGCATATTTACACACAAAATACTACTAAGCAATAAAAAAATGAATTCTTGATACACAACATAACTTTTATGCTCAAAGAAGCCAGCACCCCTCAAGAAAGTACTGTACATACCGTATGACTCTATTTATATGAATAGTGATAGGAAACAGCAATAGTTACTTGGGGTGGGACTATGAGGAGGAAGGGATTACCAAGGGGAAACTAGGAAACTTTTCAGAATGATAAAACATTCACCTTCTCAACTATGGTGATAGTTTGGTCTACATTTGTGTCAAATGGTTCATTTTAATTTAGGGGATGAGACTGTAGAGTTCAATGGTAGAGTGCTTGCCTAGCATTCATGAGGCCCTTGGTTTTACCTCCCACACTGCAAAAGTAAATAAATAAATACCTGTCCAATTTTCTCAATGTCAATTATTACTTTAAAACTTTTTGAAGGGCTAATAGCTGACACTAAGTAAATCAGACACGTTTAATTTTCTTTTGTGTGCTGAGGACTGAACCAAGAGCCTTGCACATATTAAGTAATTACTCTACCACACAGCTACATCCCCAGCTACTTTTATGTTTGTATTTTAAGACAGGGTCTCACTACACCTCCTAGGCTGGGCTTAAATGTGACATCCTGCCTCAGTCACCGGAGTGGCTAAGATTTCAAGATGTTTAAGCTATGTATTTGCTTTTTTACTTTCAGTAAAATTTACAATAAATAGATAAAGGTGCCGGGGAGATGGCTCAGTGGATTAAGTGCTTCCCTGGCAAGCGCAAGGGCCTGAGTTCAATCCCTGGTTCTGCAAATAAATAAATAAATAAATAAAAATTTAAATGATAATTATAAACTTGTCAGCATTATAAACTGATTCCTAATGGCTATGCTGCCTTTTTATTCTCAGTAGCACTGATGGAACCCAAGGCCTCAAGCATACTAGGCAGGTGCTCTAGCACTCACTGTGCTATATCCCTCTCTCTCCAAGAGATAAGATTTTAATTTTTAACTACAATAACAACAAGAAATGTTAGTAAATTCATAAAATTAAATCTCTACATCAGAAAAGTTAAAAATTGATAATTTTCAATTACCTGTAGAAGATGGTGATTTCTCTGAGTGTTTTGCATTTAAAAGTTTTCTACTAATAAATATGTAACCACAGGGACATGATTTACATGCAACAGGAACCTGTTTGAAAAAAAAAAGAAAAAAAGAATATATTATTCTTTCTCTATTGATAAATTTTTCAGTGTTTACATTCCTCAAATGAATTCTAAATTACTTGAAATAGGAATAATTGACTTATTTAAACCCAACATTCTTACTACAAATTATATGAGATGGGTATCATGTCACACAGATTTACCTCTTCTTAGCACTTATAGTACTATGAGTACTGTACTGCAACCTTCTATAGCAGTACCATAGAGGTAAATGATAAATGTACCAATGTAAATGACCAAAAGAAAACCTTAATATTTCTTGTTATATAGGTCTTGCTTTATCTTGGTCTTAACCATCCAGCAGAAAAGTATAAAAACGAGGTATATAAAGTAAAGCCATATTAACATGCTGAGCTGTAAAAGGCTCAAGTCAACAACTTCTGACATTGCCACTCCTACGGATAACCCACTATTATTATGGACTACTGGACTATATTGGATTATTTTGCTGAATTCACGCACCTACAATATTTAAATGGCAATGGAATACTCATCTCTGACAAAACTAAACAAAAAAAGGGGATACAAATGAAGGACCATTTTGATCTGTATATGCAAAATAGGATAGATATACAGCTACTTTCTTTTAATTCAATGAGAAGAAAATATTGTACTAATAGTGTTTGGACAGGATATCATGTCTGCATCTTGTACTATGAATAACCATTACGAAGACAACAATATGCAATGTATTAATTATTGAAACTGTCTTACTACTCGTTTTTGAAACTATCTAATTGCTATTTGTTTCTCAATAAAATTAGTTTTAAAAAAAGAGAATCCTGTGTATCTGGCTGAGAATCGTGTATCAAATGACCAGAAATAAAATAGTATAATTTTTTTTTTTTTTTTTTTTTGGTGGAATCAGGGATTGAACTCAGATCCTTGTGCTTGCCAGGGAAGCACTTATTCTACTGAGCCATCTCTCCAGCCCCAAGTATAAATTTACAGAAAAAAAAAAAAAAAAAAAGAAAGAAAACCTTAAAAGGGTCAGTGCCAAAGGGACGTACATAAGGAAGAAAGGTAGCAGTTCTGCTGTTTGGTGGCCCATGCCTGTAATCGTAACACAGGGAGGCTGAGGCAGGAGGATTACTATAAGTTTAAGACCACCCTCAGCTTATATAGTGAGACCCTGTTTAAAAAAAAAAAAGTAGCATTTCCTAAAATGTTAGTTTGAGATAGAGAGCAAATTGGATAAGGGAGAGTTAATCATAAGATTAGCAGGGCCCAACTACAAGAGTGAAATAGTGAGAATGCAAATAGAGGAAAGGTATATTTGTCAAATGTTTCAAAAACAGGAAAAAACAAGACTCAGGCCAAAACTAATTAGAGGTGATAAAATGAGATGAAACAAAAATAACTCTGGGTTTCAATATGAGACAAGAAGATGCCAATTACCCCTGAAAAAATGAATAGTTTTTGACAACCAATATGAGGGCTGAGAATACACTATAAACAAAAAAGAATGTAGGGGCTGAGATGCAAGAACTTATGTATAGTCTTAATTCCCAGAAAAGACCTTGGACAAAACATTCAAATCCTGCAGGCTTTTGTTTCCAAACCTGCATATTTTTAAAGGCAAATGTTGTTAAAAATCACTGAGAATTTTTAATTTGTCCCCATAACTGTTTCACCTATTATTAACATTAATGATCCTTGAAATTAAGACATTTCACAAAAAATCAGATTGATCTTAAAAAAAAAATCTCACAACACAGCAATTTCTGTAGGATAAATTTCAATTGCAAATTATTCTGCTTATGTTATAATTATAAAGCTTGTTATCCATGCATGACTAGAATGCTTTAATTCTAAAATATACTCCATCTAATTAAGCTAAACTGAAATTTGGCAGAAGACATCTTTTCATGCAAAAATACTGAATCCAATTTGCATTTAAGATATTAACGAATGCTATATAAAGGTACATTTAACTGCTTGATTTATTTAAAATGTGATGAGAATTCTTTGAACCATGATGTAAATAAGTTCTTCATAATCTGGTCATTTTAGAGCATTTTAAAAATTTACCTATGCCTTTTTTGGTTTTGGATTTTAATTTTTAATTTTTATTAGTACGTTTTCATACATAATTACATTCACTGTGGAGAAATAGTACACGTGTATAACAAAAACATCTCAAGGGGTTTGTTTTGAGACAGGATCTCACATAGTTCACACTGGCCTATGTGGCCCACGTTGGCCTCAAATCTGGGGCAATCCTCTTCCCTCAGCCACCACAGTGCTGGGATTATGGATATGTGCCACCACACCCAGCTAACTCATGCCTTTCTTAAATTACTTTCACAGAAAAAAAAAAAAGAAATTACTTAGAAATCAATAGCTTTCATTTGTCATCTTATCTACTGAATAAAGGATACTACAAGCTAACATTAAATTATGTACTACAGTGCAACTAACTGAATTGCATCCTACAAAAGAATTAATCTGCTGAGCCCATAAACCCTACCCCCTTGGGATGGTTACCTGGAGATGAGTGTCTTTCAAAACAGATAATTAGGTTTACATGAGGTCATAGGTGGGACCCTCATAATGTCTCATATAAGCAAGACAAGCGAGAGCTTGCCCACTGTTTCTGCCACATGAGGAAACTCAGAAAACAGTCGTTTGCAAGCCAGGCAGTCTCTCACCATTGTCTTGGACTTCAGCCTCCAAAACTGTGAGAAAAAAAATTTCTCCTGCTTCAGCCACCCAATCTACAGTATTATGGCAGCCTGAGCAAACCCAGACACAGCTGACTTTGGGAACGTATGTGTACATGCGTTTGCACTGCAAAATTAAAGCGATCTTTCCAAATAAATAGTGTCATGTTTTGTTACAGTTTTAGGGCTTCCCACAAGTTTATGCTCTTTCTTTACCCCAGGATATTAAAAACAGATTTTTCTTGAAAGATCCCTTCATGCCAAATAAAATAAAGGAAGGACCTGCATTTACTTGTGCTAAAAACAAAACAAAACAAAAAAACCACGAACGCATACTCTGTAAACCTTACATTTTTGAAAAATTAATTGAGGTGGAAATGACTTAAACAAAAATTATCTGCCAACAGTCATAAAAACAGAAAGTCCAATTTTGTGAGAATTTAATGTAATGGTAAGAATGAAAGTAACTCTTCGGAAAAGATGACTCAACTGTTTTTATACCACATACTGGTAGAGTTCAATAAACCATCTTGCACAACCATTCTCTGTCAGCATTTTTGCCACTGCTTGTAAATAACACTGAAACATGTAACATGTTTTGTTACAAGATTTGATCAGCCTCAAGACTGCTTCTTGAAGAATGCATAAAACTGAGCACTTTATTTTTTATGTCAGTGTCTCCAGCCATTTCAAATTATTCTTGATCAAGGAAAAAGAAAGGGGGACAGGGGAGGTAGTCATTTTGAAAACTCCACTCTGGAAAAAGAAAAAACACACCCAGATGGATGAAATGAAAGCCTTATGCAAGGCTTTAACGGAGGTAATTTCAACTAATAGTTAGAACGTAAGGCAGAGAGAAGTATCTGTGTTCTATAGAGAATGAAGCATGCTTTAAAAGTAGGATACATGAGATTTTGTTTTTTAAACAACAGGCATGATAAGAATCATTTCCGACTTAGGAAACCAGAGAGAGACAAAATTTGTAACAGCAAAAGCCCTGTCGGAGGGATGAGGTGCGCCCAGAAAGGGATGTTACTCAATCATGTTCCATTAAAAACAATGCAAAGAAAGCACGCGCCTTACACGACATCAAAAATATCATAAACAGAAGTAAGGGAGAAAGAAGATCCCCAAATCGCCACAACTCCACACCCAGTCGCGCGGCCCCCCGCCTGGCGCCCGCCCCGCACCTCCTCCCGGACAAAGCGACCCGACGGAGTGGCGGGCGGGGCGCGGGCTGCACCGCACGTGGGTGCCCGCGGCGTGGGCAACGGGGCGAGCGGGCACTCGTTCGAGCCCCACCCCGCCCGGCCCGCCCGCAGCCCCCGCCCGCGCCCACCTGTTGGTCGCACTCGGGGCAGGACTTGGTGGCCATCTTCACTTTCTTGGCTCGCGTCGCGGACATGCTCCTCTCCGTGGGCAGCGCGGCCCGGGCTCCTCCCCGCGCACCGCGGCGCCGGCCTCCGCCAGGCCCGGCCTCTGCTCGTCCCGTACCGCTCCCTCCCGAGACCGGTGGAAGCTCTGCGTTGCGCGTGCGCGAGCTCAGGAGCCTGCGGGCCGGGGGCGGGGCGGGGCGGGTACTCAGCGACTGGCGCACAGAGGCTCAGCCCACGCCCGGGGACCAGCGCCGTGGAGTGCGCGCCCGCGCCGCACGTGAAAAAGGGACCTACCGCGGCCGGGTAACTGCCATGCGCCTCCTGGCCAGGTGGTGGCGGGGCAGCGCGGACTGGGCGGGACCGGGAGTGACGAACGTGAACACCGGCCAACGAATGTGCAGGAAGGGCGGGCGCTGGCTCAGACACGCCCCCTTCCGTAACGTAGGGGCGGGAGAACTGGAAGACTGGAAAGGGGACGGAAGGCTCTGCAAAGGTGTTGGCGCAGGTCTTGGCACTTAATACACTTCTGAAAATGTCAGCGAGGAGTTACAGTGGACATTTAATGAGCCTGCGATGTGCAAATCCCTGGGCTTGGAGGGGCAGGATATAAAACACTTTAAAGAACAATTCAGCCTGACACATGAATACTGAGGTGCTTGCCTCAAAAAACAAGCAGGTTAGTGGTGTAGATAGCCTAACTGGAATAGAGCTAGACAGTGTGGTTATTGGGAGGAGCCAATGGGTTGACTCATCAACCTAGACTTTGACCCACCATCTCACCTTGCGGAATTTGAAGAAGGATTCTCCACCTAGACCCTCAAATAGTACCCTGTAGTATTGCTTGTTGAAACAATATTTCAGAAAGGGCCTATGTGTCCAACAAGTTGCCTGAGTAAACCAAGGTACACAACCAGGAGTAGCACTGTGGTTCTCCAACAAAATGAGTGAGAGCCTTGTTGAGTCATCTGCAGTAGTTGAAAAACCAAGCATGTTGTTTAAAAGCCTACTGTCTAGACAAAACCCACCAGGAACGCATTTACAAATGCAGATGCATTAAGAAAATGGAGGGCAGTAGGGAGACAGATGGATTTCCCACTTAAATAGGGCAGTCTGAGCAAAGACAAAGCGATGTATATGCTGAGCTCAGGGCTCAGCTGAGGTTGGAGGAGGAGGCAGATACACTTTTAAGCCTTCAGTACCCTGGAAGAGAGTCTGGGCTTCACCACAAGGGCAAAGGGGCAATCAGGGTTTTTAATTGGCAATGAGACTAGTTTGGGCTTGAAGTTGAGAATGATTGGTCTAGCAATTGATTCAAGTCTCAGACCTAAGACAAAGGGGCAAGAAGGGCACAGATTGAAACAATGGAGGTCATACTATTAGCAAAACTGGAGGGCCCATTCTGCTGGAGGAAGGAGAGCTTTTTAGAAGATTATTTCCTGGCTAATTTCTATTGCAAAGGATTGGGTTGTAGGGACTTGTTGGTCTCTCAGTGTACCATGGAGAGAAATGGCGGCAGTAGGAATGAGGAAAAGAAAGAAGACGAGGGCCGGGTCAGGTGGTGGCCCATTGCCTTGTTGGCAAAGGACCCAAAGAACAACAGTGGATATGTTTATTTGTACCTTTGCAAAGTTAGTATCAGGAGACACAAGTTTGCCTAGTGACTAATAACTGAAATTGTCCAGGTAGGATGTTTTTCTCAAGACTGAAGCAGCTTGACTGATTTAGGCAGTCTGGTCTTGTCCTGCCCTCCCATATATGATTGATTTCCCACTTTAGTCACTCCTAACATCTCTATTGTTTTGATGGGTGTTCAGTTGCAGTTGGAGAAGCTGTGTTTGGAGAACTCTGTAGAAGACAGCGTTTCATTTCTGATGCCAGTCCAAAGATTTTTAGTACCTGAATACAGCAATTTAACCCCATATAGTCCAATAATCCATATATCCATAACTCTGTAATGAGTTAACAGTGAAGCTGGCAATTGTCAGGGGAAGTTGTTAGTGATTTGGACCTTTTACAGCTAGCATATGATTATGGTATTACTTTTCACATCTCATGGTTGCACTTTTCTGCTAGATGTTAGGTGAGACCTGTATAAATAAAAAAAAAGTATTGTTATCTATCAAAGTCAGTTAAATCTCTTAAGGATTTACCTTGGAACCAAGTACAGCACCTCTTAACATCTTCTGTCAGTTTCAGCCATCTAGATGAGTCATAGCCATTGCTTGACCAAGTTGCTTTCTGTGAAAGCTTGAAAGATTTTTTTTTTTTCTCTCCAGGTGACTTTCTGTAGGCACACTATACATCACTAACCATTTTCCTTTGTGGTCTCATAATCCCCTTGATTAGAAAATCAAGGACTCAATTGAGTTACAGAATGTTGCAGCAGAGGTTCTCTTATGTCCTGAGTCCTCATTGACCTTGGAGGGTTAGGACCAAGATATTGGCTATCCTATTAGCCCATATATCTCTAATTTTTGGTCTCCAATCCTCAGCTGTTAACTTTCCAGAAGAGAAACTTATTGACATTTGTAAGTTTCCTTCCTCTAGCATGAAAGAGAAGCAGGAGAAAAGTAAAGACATCCTTTATTGCTCAATAAGGGAGGGCTGCCAAAGAGAAGCAAGGTCTCTGTTATGGTTTGTGTCTAGTTGTCCCCCAAAGCCTCATGCAGTCATGGGGCAGCTTGTGGAGTTTGTGATTGATTATTGTGGCTATGGATGCTGCACCTGCCCTGGGGTAGGTAATTTGCATTACAATATAAGGAGGGGAGAGAGGCTAGCTAGCTGCCTGAGCTGTGACCACTCCTTTCTGCTCTTGCTCTTTGTCACCACCATGAAAGGTTGCTCTCTGCCATATGCCCCGACTGAAACCTCCAGTAACTGAAAACTAAATAAACCTTTCCTTCCCTCAATTTGTGTGTCAGGTATTTGTCCCAGCAACAAGAGAGCAGTAACTGAGACGGTCCCTCAGGGAAAAGGCAGGCTGACAAAGAATTTATCAGACTGGGTTAGGGGTGGAGTTTGTATGAGTGATACAGTGTCAAAAGAGGCTCTAATTGGGGAAGGGTTGGCACATGTGAAAAACAAGAGGAAGTCCATGGCTAACCAGGGAGAAAAAGAAGGAAGTCAGTCTAGGAGCAGCTCATCCTTGGTTTTGGGATCCCTGCACCATGCTGACTCACTGGCATGATGACCCAGTGGACCACTGCATGGGCACAGGCCCATCAACATTACCCTGTAATGGAGGAAGTAAGCTTAACATTACAACTTAACGTCAAACACCTTATAAAATAAAATAGAACTGTTATTTTCTCATAACCATGGATATCCTAGTAACTGAATCCCTATAGAATGGTAACAGACAACAGTTACATATTTTTACACAACAATTTAAAAATCAAAACTATATATAACATTGCAGTATGATAATCTTGATGATGTTTTGTGGCACACTTAAATTTTCATTTTGAAATAACATTTTGCAATCATCTCTAAATTATCTAATACATAAGCAGCTTGAACCTGGTTAGCCATCCTTTAATGGGATGTATATCACAAGTTTTTTGTTAAAGGCAGAGATCTGAATCTGAAAGAAAATCTTATCATAATAAGCAATTCTTGTTTTACATTTTAGAAGACCTGTATGTCTAGGATCATGAATACTGTTAATACACCATGTGTTTAATAATAATTTATTAATAATTGCAATACACATGTGAAAACCTTTGTTTCTTAACTTAGTTTTGTATTAAGAGGATCTTTTATGAGAAAACATCATTGTAGTTTTTCTAAAAACCTTTATCTTTCAACGATGACCAAATTATTGGGGGTGTTGTCCAAGAAACTATGGAGGTTATTGGGGAGGGATTCTCATTAATGAATAAAATTGGCCAAGCCTCTATTCACCAATTGGAGTACTGACCAATAAACCCTTTCACTCTAAGGTACTTTTTTTTCTTTTCAAAGTTTTATTGATAAACATATAGCAATGAGACAGTTTCAAATCAAATTGAAAGTACAGTTTCAACAAATAATACACTGCATACATTCTTCTCAGTGGTTAATTGCTGTACAAGATGCAGACTTGTGATCCTACTTACAAACACCATTAGAAAAAATCATTCT